AGCACTTTTGCCATCTTCTACTGCTTTCTTAGGCCATAGCAAAGAACTGGATCGCGAGTAGAGCAGCTGGGACTCGAACTGGTGCCCATATGGGCTGCCAGCACTGCAGGTGGCAGCTTAACACGCTACGCCACAATGCCAGACCTATTTGTTTTTTGAATTGACTTCTAATATCATATATTTACTTTTTTTAAAAGATCTTATTTTAATTATTTGAGAGGTAGAGTTACAGAGAGAGGCAGAGAGAGAGGTCTTCCATCCACTGGTTCATTCTCCAGATGGCGGCAAGCTCCTAGGCTGACCTGAAGCCAGGAGCTTCTTCCAGGTCTCTCATGTGGGTGCAGAGGCCCAATAACTTGGGCCATCTTCCACTGCTCTCCCAGGCTATAGCAGAGAGCTGTATCGAAGAGGACAAGCCGGGACACAAACTGGCACCCATATGGGATGCTGGCGCCACAGGCAAAGGCTTAATTACACCACAGTGCCGGCCCCCTCTATTTATTTTTTAAAAAACTATTTATAAGAGTTCTATTTTATGACTGTTTAAATTAAAATTTATTGACATAAAAATTGTATGCATTTATGGAGTGCCATGTGATGTTTCCATGTATGTATATGTTGTGTTCAAATCAGGGCAAGTATAACTGTCTCAAACATTTATCATTAGTGGTGAAATATTAAAAATCCATTCTTCTGGCTTTTTTGAAACATAAAATACATTATCAATATCTGTAGTTATCTGACTGTGTGCAGTAGAACAACAGAACTTGTTTCTTCTATGTAATTGTGACTTAATACCCCTTTTCTGTTCTTCCCAGCCTCTGGCAACGCTTCTACTCTGAGCTTTATGAGATCAACTTTTTTAGATTCTGTGTATAAGTCAGATTATGTAATACTTGTCTTTCTGTCCATAACTTATTTCATTTAATGACCTCCAGTCCCATCTACGTTGTTGCAAATGACAAGATTTCATTCTTTTGTTTAGGGCTGAATAGTATTTAATGATGTGTGTGTACACTTTTTTTTCCTTTGTTACAGTCTGTTAAAACACCATTGCTATTCCTTAGGACAAGAACACAGATCACACCTGTAGAAACTAGGAACTACATGTAGAACAGAAACAAAATTGTAGCTGAAGCCTGACTGCTAACCAGAGCAGGATTCTCAATGGACTCAAGTGATAAAGAGAAGCTAGGCAGAGCAGGGGACAGTATCCTCTGAATCAAACTTCATGTGCCATCATGATTATCTCCCAGGACTTTATCAGCCATGATGAGACGTCTGCCACATTTATAAGATACAGTTGATCAAGGCCTGCATTGTGGCACAGTGGGTTAAGCTGTTGCCTTCCACGCTAGCATCCCCTGTGAGCACCGGTTTGTGTCTAGGCTGCTCCACTTGCCATCCAGCTCCCTATTGACACACCTGGGAAAGCAGCAGAAAGTGGCCCACGAATTTGGCCCCTGCCACCCACATGGAACACCTAGATGAACCTCCTGACTCCTGGCTTCAGCCTGGCCTAGCCCCAGCCATTGTGGCCACTTGGGGATTGAATCAGTGGATGGAAGGCCTCTCTCTGCCTCTCCTCTCTCTGTAACTCTGGCTTTCAAATAAATCTTAAAAAAAAAAAAAAAAGTCACATGAAATCACTCAAAGGCAAACTTAAGAAGAGAGACACAGCCTTTTTTGATGGGCTGCATGTTCTTGTTACTTTCAAAAACTGTTAGTTATTATTTTCTTTTAAAGATTTATTTTGCGGCCAGCGACATGGTGCAGTAGATTAAGCTGCCATCTGTGATGCTGGCCTCCCGGATCAGGGCACTGGTTCCAGTCCCAGTTGCTGTGCTTCTGGTACCGCAGAATAAATAGAAGGGGAGACACAGCGAGATCTTCCATCCATTGATTCACTCCCCAAGTGGCTGCAGCAGTTGGCTGTGCCAGGCTAAAGCCAGGAGCCTAGAACTCTATGTGGGTCTTCCACATGTGCAGGGACCCAAGTACTTGTCTTCTCAGGCACATTAAGAAGAACCTGGACTGGAGTGGAGCACCTGTGCTTGAACTGAAACTCTGATGTGTAGGATGTGGTGCCAGCATTGCAAGGGCATCACGTTGTTGCGCCACAACACCAGACCCTTTGATTTTCCTGAAGAATGATTTAGACAAGAAAAACCGCTGGAGATGCCACAGTGGCTCTTGAGTTACGCTGCCAGTTGTGATGCCAGCATCCCATGTGGGCGTCAGTTTGAGTCCCAGCTGTTCTAATTCAGCTCCCTGCTAATGCACCTTGGAGAGAGGTGAAAGATGGCCCAGGGAGTTGGGCCCTTGCCACCCCCATGGGAGACCTGGTTGGAGTTCCAGGCTTCTGACTTCAGCCTGGCCCAACCCTGGCCATTGTGGCCATTTGGAGAGTGAACTAACTGATGGAAGATCTCTTTCTCTCTCTTTCCCTTTCTCTGTAACTCTTTCAAATAAGTAAAATAAACCTTAAAGTAGTACATAGGGGCTGGCGCTATGGTGTAGTAGGAAAAGCTGCCACCTGCAGTGCCGGCATCCCATGTGGGCACTGGTTCTAGTCTCAGCTGCTCCAGTTACAATCCAACTCTCTACCATGGCCTGGGAAAGCAGTGGAAGATGGCCCAAGTCCTTGGGCCCCTGCACCTATGTGGTAGACCCAGAAGAAGCTCCTGGCCTCAGATCGGCCCAGCTCTAGAGAGTGAGTCAACGGATAAGAAGACCTCTCTCTCTGCCTCTGCCTCTCTGTGTAACTCTGCCTTTCAAATAAGTAAATATTTTAAATATATATATTTATACACACACACACACACACACACACACCCCTATAAAATGATGTTTCAGTGAACATGTTGGAGTGAACCAGCAGATGGAATACCTCGCTCTGCCTCTCTGTAACTCTGCCTGTCAAATAAATCTTAGCAGATTTGGCAGTTACTTTGGATCTGTCACTGCTTATCCTAACCAGCATGCAACACCAGGAATTGAGACAAATGGCACTGAAGTCATCTTGAGCTCATCCTTTCATTTGAAAGTGATCTATTTGGAGGCATTGTTTTTAAGAAAGAAAATCTCGGCCGGCGCCGCGGCTCAACAGGCTAATCCTCCACCTGCGGCGCCAGCACACCGGGTTCTAGTCCCGGTCAGGGCGCCGGATTCTGTCCCGGTCGCCCCTCTTGCAGGCCAGCTCTCTGCTGTGGCCCGGGAGTGCAGTGGAGGATGGCCCAAGTGCTTGGGCCCTGCACCCGCATGGGAGACCAGGAGAAGCACCTGGCTCCTGCCATTGGATCAGCGCAGTGTGCTGGCTGCAGCAGCCATTGGAGGGTGAACCAGCAGCAAAAGGAAGACCTTTCTCTCTGTCTCTCTCACTGTCTACTCTGCCTGTCAAAAAAAAAAAAAAAAAAAAAGGAAAAAAAAATCTCAGCAGGTTTCTTAGAAGTAAAAAAAACTCTAAATAACAAAAAAGACTGAAATTCCAGTTCCTTCAAACTAGGAACTTCTTGTCACGGCAGTGAAGGATATATTTATCAGGTGTTTTCAGGAGAAATCAAGGAAATATTTATGATACCCTGTAGTTTGTTTTGTAAGGATACCCAATTAATTAAACTTTGTTTTCATAAGAACTAAGAATCATTGCATTTGAGAGAGATTGTCATTGACTCAAGTGTAGTAATGGTTATAGATCAGGTGTGTTGATTCCAAACCAAAGAAACTCACTGTGGCTAACTTGGGCAAAAAAAGGAGCTTGCTGGGGCCCGGCACTGTGATGTAGTGGGTAAAGCCTCCGCTTGAAGCACCAGCATACCATATAGGTGCCAGTTCGGGTCTTGGCTGCTCCACTTCGATCCAGCTCTCTTCTATGGCCTGGGAAAGCAGTAGAAGATGACCCAGGTCCTTGGGTCCCTGCACCCACATGGGAGACCCGGAAGAAGCTCCTGAGTCCTGGCTTCGGATCAGCGCAGCTCCAGCTATCGCGGCCATCTGGGGAGTTGACCAGTGGATGGAAGACCTCTCTCTCTCTCTGCATCTCTATAATTCTGCCTTTCAAATAAATAATCTTTTTTTTTTTTAATGTAAGTGCCTTTTTTTAAAAAAAAATATTTACTTGAAAGAGTTACACAGAAGAGAGGCAGAGAGAAAGAGGTCTTCCATCTGGTGGTTCACTTCCCAATTGGCTGCAACGGCTGGAGCTGCACCCATCTGAAGCCATGAGCCAGGAGCTTCTTCTGGGTCTCCTACATGGGTTCAGGGGCCCAAGGACTTGGGCCATCTTCTACTGCTTTTCCAGGCCATAGCAGAGAGCTGGATCGGAAGTGGAGCAGCCAGGACTCAAACTGGCGCCCATATGGGATGCTGGCACTGAAGGCAGCAGCTTCACCCGTTAATGTCACAGCGCCGGCCCCAATAAATAAATTGTTAAAAAAAAATGTAGCTTGCTGGAAGCACATTGAGGGCCTTGAGAGTTGGCAGAAAACTCTCCCCTGGTGGGGTCTGCTGGCCAGGGCACTGCAGCTCCTTAGATGGAACCTCCAGCCATTCACCGCCTGGCTCAAGAGCAGGTATTCCGAGGAGAGTCTAGTTGACTAGGTTAGGTCACACGCCAGCTGCCAAGGATTTCCCTCTCAAGGCTAGAAAGAGGAAGCACCGGTGAGATTTTCTAAAAGGAATGAAACAGATATGAGCTCCACATTGCATCCCCAATAGGTTTCTTCACCATGGTGTCTTTATTTCGATGATGTACTTTGTGATATCATTTGATCCTCACAAAACTGTGAACTGCGAAGGGCGGGCTGGGGAATGGAACCAGGGTTAGAGCATCTGACGCACTTCTCATTTTCATTGGAAGCTCAGCAGAAGCTCAGTTACTTAACACGGACACCTGGTGGTGGTCCAGGACTCAGGACGGGTCTTCTAGCCTGTAATCCAGTGGGTTTTCCGCACCCCTGTTTGGTCTGGTTTGTCTCAGTTGGGGCTGGTTTTTCTTGCAGGTTATGTGAGGACAGGCTCAATCTCTCTGGCCCAAACTCAGGACCGGCTGATCTCCCTGAAGCGCATCAATTCAAGGCTGAAGTATGTAAGAGGCTAGAAGCCTGTCCCGACTTTACCAACTGACCTCTGCAGGAGGGCCAGAGAATGTCATTGTCCCCTTGTGTTCTGTGGCAGTGTTATAGGCATCCCTTCTGAGATCATCTCCCCTAAGAAAGTGGCTGAACTCCACCCCCTGCTCAATGTGCACGATCTGGTCGGGGCCCTGCATGTCCCCGAGGACGCGGTGCTGTCCTCCGCTGACGTGGCTCTCGCCCTGGCCAGTGCTGCCTCTCAGAATGGTGAGCGGGTTTCTGCATTTTCTTCTTGGGGGTTGGGAAGGAAGAAGTTCGTTGAAGAAGAGGTTATCTAAAAGGTACTCTTCACTGGTGTAGTTAGCACCTGTTTCGGAAACCAGACCTTGAGATTTAAAAATACAATATTTGTGAAGTGTTTTTCAAGACCAGATCTTTCTTGTAAGGTTGTAAGGAGCTGCTTTTACTGCTAACTAATGCACTTCCAACGTTAGGGGATTTTTTTCCTCCACAAAACATAAGGTGCTCCAAAGTTAGAACATTCCTTGGGGTGTAATCCACACCATAACTGTTGGAGTGAATGAGGGGAGAATTTGCTAGCATACAGGATGTTCTGTATTTTGGATTAACTTGCTTCATAATGTGGATATTGTCTCCTCCCTGCCCCATCTTGTAAGATTCCTGGAATTTAATTATTGTGTACTAAAGTCTGATTTTAACTTAACCTGCTATTTTTGATCTTGGACAAGATCCATTTATAGTCTGAGATTGTGGTTCCTAGGCATTTCTGTTTTGTAAATTAAAGCATTGACCTGAGGAACATTAGATGATGCTTCAACTCTGCCTCCATACAGGTGTTCAGATTTATGACCGCACTGCTGTTCTTCATGTCATGGTCAATGACCGCACTGCTGTTCTTCATGTCATGGTCAAAAAAGGTCAAGTTACTGGTGTGGAAACAGATAAAGGACAGATTGAATGCCAGTATTTTGTCAACTGTGCTGGTCAGGTAGGTTAGCGACAATACTGGGTTGCTGCTTTTTCTTGTTTAATGAGGATGTTCAGTTAGATACAATATTGTGACAGGCTAAACAGACAAGAGTCTATCCTGGTACTACATTGTTTCTTATTTGGGCTAGAAAACCCCAAATTCTTGTATTCTGATATTCTGAATCAGAAGCCTGTACTTACTCCTCCAAGAAGCATCTTTGACCTTTTCCTTCCTCCAGGCTGGGTTCATGGGTGCCATCCTGGCCAGGAATACCAACAAGCAGTGAGGCACTGACGGAAATGTTCGCGGCGGGGTCTTGCTGTTGTGTTGTATTGCATTCTGCAACCTCGCAGCCAGAATGTTAGGCTGTTTTATTCCCTTTCCAGAGCACTAAGCGCCATCTACTTTCAAGGCCTTATACTCTACGATCTTAAGATGACCTAGGAAGTACTTTCTGCCATATGAAGTTCATTTAATTATTAGTATTGGGGTTTGTGGTTGAGGTCAGGCATTTTATTAAAAGGGCCTCCTTTGACTAGCTGGTAAGTCTGTCTTCTTTTGATCTAGAAGAATTTTTATGGTTTAAAAGGTATAGTGTTGCTCCCCATCCAAACACTTGCACTAATGCAGGCTGAAACTTGGCTTCCCACCCCTGACACTGTAGCAAGAGCACACAGAAGCCACTTGAAATTAAACTGTTTTCAAGAGGCTGAACTTGCTCATTTGTATTTCTGTTCCTCTTTCCACCCAAAAATGAATCTGTCCATTTGTAGTGGGCATACGAGCTGGGTCTGTCCAACGAGGAGCCGGTTAGTATCCCGTTACATGCCTGCGAACACTTCTACCTCCTGACTCGCCCTTGGGAGACCCCTCTGCAGAGCAGCACACCAAGTGAGGACTTGCACTTTTTTTTAAGTCTTGTTTTCTTGCCAGTCTCCTGTCCTCTATGAGGAGAACTTTCTATAAGGACAGATTGTGCCTGGAGCATGTTACAGGGAGGTGGACCCAATTCTAACATTTCATTAATAACTCTTTATGAAGGGATGGCCAAAATGGGCTTTCCATTGAGCAGTTTTTTTGTTTTTGTTTTTTGCAGACTAACTTTTTTCTTAGAGGTCATTGAGAACATTTGGAGTGTAACTTGGGAGTTTTTAATTCCAGTGCTATAAATTGTAGAAGTGTCGTAAGTAAGCTATCAGCTTGGCTCTAATGGCTGTAGGAGAGGGTCTGATAGCATTTCAGAGGTCCCGATGCCTGCTGGTCTCTGCAGTCCGCATTTCTATATGGACTTTGCTTGGCACAGTGGCAGTTAATGTGGTTAATAGTTGTAAGGATTTGTCCAGGTATCTAGGTGCCTGATTAGGCTCCAGATACTCAGAGCAGTAGTCTCTGCTGTACATCTGAGTGGGAAAATCCTCCCCCATGACCTCTAAGGGTGTTTTACAGTGAATGAATGTCTGTGTTCATTAGACACTGTTTGTTAATAAGGCTATTAACTGTGTTTTTGGTTTCTTTTTCTGTCCATTTGGAAAGCTGACTTGCTCCTAAACCCTGGTTTTTCTCCTCTGCACCCTGCTCCCTTTTCACTTCTGTCTCTCAGCTGTCGTGGATCCTGATGGAAGAATTTATATTCGGAACTGGCAGGGTGGCATCCTGTCTGGAGGCTTTGAGAAGAACCCAAAACCAATTTTCACTGAGGGCAAGAACCAGCTGGAGATTCAGAATCTACAGGAGGACTGGGATCACTTTGGTGTGTGAACTGGGATTTTAACCATGGGCCGTGTGTTGTCTAAGGTGTTATATTTTTCAAAGCATTTGAGAAATAATTCCTTACTGAGTCTCTCTAACAAGCCTGTGAGGGACACTGTGAGTAAAAGGACTGGCCCAAGGTAGCAGCTGCTCGGTGGCAGAGTGTAGGGTTAATGGCTCGCTGTTTGCCTAGAATGACTGCTGAAATCTTAGGCGAGTGGGAACCCCCTTTTGAGAGCACCTCAGCTAACGTGGAAGGGCTTGTTACAGAGCAGAATGATTCTGTTAATGTCATCTTTTATTAGATTATAAAATTATTTGTTGAACAATGTAATCACATGGTTCCAAATACAGGATGCGAAAGGGTCTCTAATGAAGAAACTCCCACCTATCCTTGATGGACTTGCTTTTTGTGTTTTTTAAATGAAGTTCTTATCAGAATTTTAAAATTTTCAAAGAGGATAGAATAGTATGGCCCCCCTCCCAGCTCCAGTCTAGTTTTAGCTGTCAACATTCTGCCAGTAGGTTGCTCCAGGTGACACAGGTACTTTCCAACAGGCCAAAGCCCTGTCTTCCGCAGCTATTCCAGCATTTTCTTTCAGTGTGGTCTCTCTAGAAGACACTGGAGAGCTTTCCTGCTCAGAATGATCCCTTGGCGATGCTTGTTGTAGCCACATGTGTCACTTGCTATTCTGTGACTCCTCTAGATCCTTTCTAAAGAGGCTTTTTTAAAGAAAAAAATTTTTAAAGATTATTCTATTTATTTGAAAAGCATTGAGAGAGAGAGGAGAGACAGATATCTTCCATCCACTGATTCACTCCCAAAATGGCCACAATGACTAGGGCTGGGCAAGACTGAAGCCAGGAGCTTTTTTTCTCAGCCTATAAAGGCTAAGCATTTTCACGTGTCTTGTAATCCCATCAGGCTTTCTGTTTTCTGATAAATGTTCCAGATAACTCTTCAAAAAAATCTTTCAGGCTGGCATTGTGGTGTAGTAGGCTAAGCTGCCACCTATGATGTTAGCATCCCATAAAGGTGCTAGTTCAAGTCGTGGCTGCTCTACTTCTGCTCCAGCTTCCTGCTAATGTGCCTAGCAAAGCAGCAGAAGATGGCCCAAGTGCTTGGGCCCCTACACCCACGTGGGAGACCTGGAAGGACCCCTGGGCTCCTGGCCTTGGTCTGGGCCAGCCCTAGCCATTGTGGCCATTTGAAGAGTGAACCAGCAGATCAAAGATATTTCTTTCTCTCTGCCTTTCAAATAAATAAATCTTAAAAAAAATTTTTTAAATGTTTTATTTGAGAGGCAGGAAGAGACAGCAAGCAAGCTTCCATCCACTGGTTCTCTCTCTTAATGTCTGCAATGGCTGGAGGTGGGCTGCAGCCAGGACTAGGAGCTGGAAACTCAGTCTGGGTCTACCATAAAGGAGTCAGGAACCCAGTGGGTCTGCATAGTGGGAATCAGGAGCTGGGGCTGGAAACTGAACCCAGGTACTTGGACGTGGTAGGAAAACATTTTAACTGCTAGGCTACGTCTCTTTTCCTCCCAAGAGATTTTCTTCAAGGAGAGGGAATGAAGAAATATAACAAGATGAAAGTTTAATTCTCTAAAGACGGGCTTGTTTTCATTACTCAGAGCCGCTGCTGAGTTCCCTCCTCCGCAGGATGCCAGAATTGGAGACCCTGGAAATCCTGAAGTTGGTGAACTGCCCCGAGACCTTTACACCAGACATGAGGTGCATCATGGGCGAGTCTCCTGCGGTCCAGGGCTACTTTGTCCTGGCAGGAATGAACTCTGCTGGCCTCTCGTTCGGTGGAGGAGCTGGAAGGTAAGTCTGTCTTTCAGTCATCTGTAAATACTCACCAGCTTGCTGGACTGTCTCTTCTAGAATTACATATTGCTAACATGTAGTTCACTTAATGTAGTGTGATGATAACAAGAGGACACTTGTAGTTTGAGAATTGTCCCCTTCAAATCCACCTTGGGAGGCTCTCCCCATATTCTGTAAACAACATGCAAAACATTTGGGACCTCTTCTTTTGGAGTTAGCCACAGAGCTTGAGGTGAATTCTTGGTCCTTTACGTGTGTGTTGGAGTTCAAACATAGCCAGGTGCTGCGAGGAAATGGCTGGATGCTCAAGCTTGGTAATGCAGGTTATTTTATTTTATTTTATTTTATTTTATTTATTTTTGACAGGCAGAGTGGACAGTGAGAGAGAGAGACAGAGAGAAAGGTCTTCCTTTGCCATCGGTTCCCCTCCAACAGCCGCCGCAGCCGGCGCATCGTGCTGATCCAAAGGCAGGAGCCAGGTGCTTCTCCTGGTCTCCCATGCGGGTGCAGGGCCCAAGCACTTGGGCCATCCTCCACTGCACTCCCGGGCCACAGCAGAGAGCTGGCCTGGAAGAGGGGCAACCGAGACAGAATCCGGTGCCCCGACCAGGACTAGAACCTGGTGTGCCGGCGCCACAAGGCAGAGGATTAGCCTATTGAGCTGCGGCACCGGCCCGCAGGTTTTGTTTTTAAAGATTAGGTACTAATTACAAGTAAGTCACATAATCCTATATGATTCCATTTACAGTGTAGTAGTCATATTCATAGAGACAGGAAGTATAGTAGTGGTTGCCAGGGAGAGAGTTTAAAAGAGATCTTCCATCTGCTGGTTCACTCCCCAAATAACCACAATGGCCAGGACTGGGCCAAGCCAAAGCCATGAGCTTCATCCAAGTCTCCCACGTGGGTGCAGAGGCCCAAGGAGTTGGGCCATCACCCACTGCTTTCCCAGGCACGTTAGCAGGGAGCTGGATCAGAAGTGGAGCAGCCAGGACTCTGACACTGCCAGCCCCAAGAGAGTTAGTGTTTAATGGGGACAGAGTTTCTGTTGTAAGAGTTCTGGAGATGATGGCAGGGATGGTTTCACAGCACTGTGAATGTACCTAGTGCCACTGGACTGTACACTTAAGAATATTTGAAGATAGTAGTATTGTGTGTATTTTGCCATAATTAAAATAGTTTAACTGAGGCCAGTTTTCCTGGCTGACATATAGAGTTGCTCTGAAAACAGTTACATAAAAGGAATTCTCAAAATGTCTGGACCACAGATGTGGTCAGACAACTGTGTAATCTCTCACTAGGACTGATCACAGAAAGAACTCACTGGTTGTATAGAGTACACTTAGAAGTGTGTTTTGATTTGATTTCTTCATACATTTAGCTTATAGCTTTTTTAATAAATTTATTTGAAAGACAGACAGAGGTCCTCCATTGTCTGGTTCACTCCCTAAATGTCCGCAGCAGCTAGGGCTGGGCCAGGCCAGAACCAGGAGCTTCTTCCAGGTCTCCCACAAGGGTGCAGGGGCCCAAGGACTTGGGCCATCTTCTGTTGCTTTCCCAAATGCATTAGCAGGGAGCTGGATTGAAAGTGGAGCAGCCAGGACTTAAACAGGTGCCCATATGGGATGGCAGTATCACAGTGGTGGCTTTACCTGCTATGCCATGATGCCAGCCCATAACTTGTGTCTGAAGTGCTCTAGTGAATGTAACCATTACAGTGGAAGTCCTCCTGGTAGTCTTACAAGAGCAGTACATGGACGCATGTTTCTTATTCCAGGAGAGTTAGGGAAATGCATAGAGCTGTTCAACTTGGACGACATCGGATCTTTTGTTTGTTCTAGATTTGTAGAACACTGTTTTTTCCTTCTGAGAATCACACCTGCCAATCTCATCTGAATAGGTACCTTGCTGAGTGGATGGTACATGGCTATCCCTCAGAAAATGTCTGGGAACTGGACCTGAAACGTTTCGGAGCTCTCCAGAGCAGCCGCACCTTCCTGCGCCACCGGGTCATGGAAGTCATGCGTGAGTGAAGCTTCTCCCCGCGGCGCCTGCGAGCAGTGTCTTCCCGTGGCTGTTGGATCATTCTCAGGGGCAGCTTGTTCCTCAGTTCCTTAATGACTGCCATGAGTTGGGCTTCTGATATTTGACTGTTTCAGACCTGAGTAAGGGGATTTATGTTCCATGTGACATTTAGGGAACCTTTTTAATATACAGGACCTTGGTTACTTCTGGGACTGGGAAGGTAAAATAGGATGTGCAGGTGGTCTGCTGCAGCTTCATGTATGTGCTAGCCATGCCGACCTCTGTTACAGTGCATGCTCTCACTCCCACATGGTTTTGAGATCATTCCTTTCTTTTCAAGGCAAAGAATTTACCATGTTATTATTTTTTTTAAGATTATTTATTTGAAAGAGTTACACAGAAAGAGGAAGAGATAGAGACACAGAGATGGACAGAGATCTTCTATCTGCTGGTTCACTCTCCAAATGGCTGCAACGGCCAGGGCTGAGCCAGGCCGGAGCCAGGAGTCAAGAGCTTCTTCCTGATCTCTCACATGGGAGCCCGGGCCAAAGGACTTGGGCTATCTTCTGCTGCTTTCCCAGGCACATTAGCAGGGAGCTGGACTGGAAGTGGAGCAGTCAGTTCTCAGATCCGGTGCCCATATGGAATGTCAGTGTCACAGATGGTGGCTCTGTCCACTGTACCACAACAATGGCCCCTGCTATGTTATTTTCAAAACCTTAGGCTTCTCCGAGTGACTTTGGTCATTAATCCACCATATGGGGGCAGGCGCTGTGGCGCAGCGGGTTAAAGCCCTGGCATCCCATGTGGGCTCCGCTTCTAGCCCTGGCTGCTCCTCTTCTGATCCAGCTCTCTGCTGTGGCCTGGGAAAGCAGTAGAAGATGGCTCAAGTCCTTGGGCCCCTGCACCTGCATGTGTGACCCGAAAGAAGTTCCTGGCTCCTGGCTTTGGATCGGCGCAGCTCTGGCAGTTGCAGCCGTCTGGGGAGTGAACCAGCAGATGGAAGACCTCTCTCTCTAACTCTCTTCCAAATAAATAAATCTTTTTTAAAAAGAGAAATCCACCATATGTTAGCAAGGTGGAAACCGCACTTCTCATAAATAAGTTATTGTTGCTGTCTTTTTAAAAGATTTGAAAGGTAGACACACACAGTACTTTCATCTACTGGTTTACTCCCCAGATGACTGCAACAGCCTGGCTGAAGCCAGGAGCCAGGAACCCTATCCTGGTCTCCCATCTGAGTGGTAGGGACTCCAGTACTTGAGCAATCCCGCTGCCTCCCAGGTGCTTTAGCAAGGAGCTGCATTAGAAGCAGAGTAGCTGAGACGCAAACTGGCTCTCCAGTCCCAGGCTGTACGCATCCCAAGCAGCGCCTTACCCTGCTGTGCCACACTGGCCCCAAACGTTTTTGCTCCTCTTCTCCTCGTTCTTCTTTCCTACTTTGAGGATTGGCCTCTTGATCTTAACGTGCTGTTCCTCTTTGTCTCTGATTTAGAGACAGCTTTTGTATCAGGAAGTAAACCAAATCACGTAGGTTCTGACAGGTTTTAATAACATTTTCCAAATTTTGCCAAATGACATCTAAATATTTTGGGTACATGTATGATCAGGACTACGTTTCCATATTGGATGTAACCGCCATTACAAATGACCCGTTGGTTAAGTACCTGCTTTTGGCCTGTGAGAGATGAAGGGTATAGGACTGTACCTGCAATGTGTTCAACTGCCAAGGCTCTTTAATTTTAGAAAATGTTTCAGTTGAAATGTTGAACTATTAGATTCCCCTGCCCGTCCTCTAGAACCTGTGGGTAACATCATTAAGTTTGAGCTTCTCCGTGGTGATATGCCACTTTCGGTGGCCTTCTGTGATTCTCATAAAAGAGAAACTGCAGGCATGTTAGAAAATGCACAAGGGGAAGGAGAACTTAGAGCATCGGGAGAGGACGACAGGGGCACAGTACAAGGACCCAGTGTGGCTTCTGTTTCAGCCTGACCCCCACTCCCCAGTACCCGTCTTTGGTTTGGAATAAAAAGCGTGAGATCAGGGCTTGTCTTGGTAGAGATTAGAGATCACTCTCTTTCTGGCTGTTTTTACTTATTGCTGTTGCAGATTGGACATTAAGAGAAATGAATTCTGACCCTAGCTTTGTTATGTGAATAATGTCACTGGGACAATACAGTGCAACCTCTCAGATTTCAGAGCCACCAAATCAAGGTATGCTACGTACCCTTCACTTCAGAAATGGGTTAAATGTTGGAGAGGACATGCCTGTGAGATCTGAGACCCCAGCTCCACAAGGTGCTGGGAAGAATCAAGTGCCATTTTCCACACTGTTACTACTTGTGTCCTACTTAGATAAGGCCTTCATCTGTGCTATGTGAACAGACCAAGAGTTGTTACTGTGTAGCTCTATAGAGGGATAACGCCAGCTCTTACAGTATTGTCCCTTTTTTTCCTTCAGCATGCTTGTTATACTAGGTCGTATTTGATAAACTAGGCCACACTGGCCTAGAAATTAGGCTGTTTTGAATAAGAATGACTCCAGAGTCTACTGGATGTGCTTTGACTGACAGACTGTTCTTGTTTCTTCTAGCTCTGATGTATGATCTGAAGGTTCCCCGTTGGGATTTCCAGACTGGCAGACAGTTACGGACATCTCCTCTCTACGACCGGCTGGATGCACAGGGAGCCAGATGGATGGAGAAACATGGATTTGAGAGGCCAAAGTACTTTGTTCCACCTGACAAGGGTAAGAAGCCTCGTTTTTGCTCATTTTTTCCTGAGTTAATAAAAACTTATTTGTAAATTCATACAGCTAGAATGTGTCCGCAGAGTAAATAGTAAAACCTACCAGACTATATGGGAGATGGCCTCATGTAAACATCTTCCTTTTTCCTCCACTTTTAATTTTTCTTGTAGACCTCCTTGCACTGGAGCAGAGCAAGACTTTTTATAAGCCAGACTGGTTTGACATTGTGGAGTCTGAAGTCAAGTGTTGTAAGGAAGCTGTGTGTGTCATTGACATGTCCTCTTTCACAAAGTTTGAGATAACAGTAAGTATTTGGGAAGCAAACTAACAGATTAGGAAATTTTGCATATTTATTGAATACCTCCATTTTTCATCTGTCTCTTCAAAAATGATTCTCTAAGATACTAAGATATACTAAGATATACTAAGATATACTAAGATATAGCTCCTTGTTTCTGACTTTTAATTTGCCTCAGAGGCCCATTTAGTGTAAGAATCAATGACAGACCGGTGCTGCGGCTCACTAGGCTAATCCTCCACCTGGCGGCACCAGCACACCAGGTTCTAGTCCCGGTCGGGTGCTGGATTCTGTCCCGGTTGCCCCTCTTCCAGGCCAGCTCTCTGCTGTGGCCAGGGAGTGCAGTGGAGGATGGCCCAGGTGCTTGGGCCCTGCAGCCCATGGGAGACCAGGAGAAGTACCTGGCTCCTGCCATCAGTGCGCCGGCTGCAGCGCGCCGGCCGTGGCAACCATTGGAGGGTGAACCAACAGCAAAGGAAGACCTTTCTCTCTGTCTCTCTCACTGTCCACTCTGCCTGTCAAAACAAACAAACAAATGGATGGCTAGCTCTTCCTGGAGCTGCTCGCAATGGAAGAAATCCAGGCAGCTGAGTTTTCACAGCAGGGGTGTTGCTGCTGCACTGTACCACCCAGCAGGTGTTCTTGTTCTCTGCTCCTCTCCCTCCCCTACAGTCTACTGGGGATCAGGCACTGGAAATCCTGCAGTACCTCTTCTCCAATGACCTGGATGTGCCCGTGGGCCACATCGTGCATACCGGCATGCTCAACGAGGGCGGGGGCTACGAGAATGACTGCAGCATCGCACGCCTGAACAAGCGCAGGTGAGGTCAGGCCCTGTCCGGTCTGTTGCCCCGAGGTACTGCTGTATTACGAGGCCTGCAGTGGAGAGGGTGCCTAGGAGACTTCTCCAGGAGACCATTATCAGCCCGGAAACTGCAGACCCATTTCCTCAACTCACGCCAATTCACTGGCAGCCCTGAACAACAAACCTCCATGGGGAAAAACCCTGGTGAAGAAGTTATCGTCCTGGGAGAAGATGCCTTATCTTCATGTTCCTGTGTCTACTTTCTTGCCACTCACAGGGCCATGGAATTCTGATTAGTCCTTGCCTGGTATACCCCAGGATGGTGCCACTGGCCTTCCCTAAAAGCTAAGCGATTGTGGGATTCTCATTGCTTTGAAACCTAGATGAGAACATGATTGCTCTCTGTTCCTCTGTCTGCTGCCTGGTTTTGATTAATTTGGGGTCTCCCTTGCAGTTTCTTCATGATCTCTCCAACTGACCAGCAGGTCCACTGTTGGGCCTGGCTGAAGAAACACATGCCAAGTGACAGCAGCTTGCTTCTGGAAGATGTCACCTGGAAATATACTGGTGAGGGGCCCTGGCCAGGTGTGCCTTTTCTGTTTGCCGCTTTTAGATGTGACCTGCAAAAAATGAATGTAGGAATTAGCATCAAAGAGGCTATCTGGTCACAGGGAAGACTTTTTTTTCTTTTTTTAAAAGATTTACTTATTTGTTTGAAAGGCAAAATTAAAGAAATTAGAGACAGAGAAAGAGATCTTCCATCTGCTGGTTCACACCCTAAATGGTCACCATGGCTGGGGATGTGCCAGACCGAAGCCAGTAACTTCTTCCAGGTCTCCCACGTGGGTACAGGGGTCCAAGGACTTGGGTCACCTGCTGCTTTCCCAGATGCATTGTCAAGGAGCTGGATCGAAAGTGGAGCAGCAGAGTCTCACACCGGTGTCCATGTGGGATACAGGCACTGTGTACGGCAGCTTAACCCCCTGTGCCAGCGCCGACCCCAGGAAAGACATTTCTAATGCTCTCCTGCTTTTTGAGAAGTGGGTCAGTGCTTTGGTTTGTTTTTATCCTTTGCTGTATCCCTCTAGAGCTAACATGCAGGAGCTCACCTCTTTGTTGATGAATGAGTAATGTTACAGGTATTTTTTAATTTGTTACCTAAGTATTTTCTCCTAAATCCCTCCCCCCACTTTTAAGGAGCACATAATTTTTAAGGATGACTTGATTTCCTCAGCAGTTTTCTGGGGGATCAGCGCCTCTTCTACTTCATTCTAAGCTTAACCCTCTCTCCTCTGTCCCTCCCACCTGACTCCTGTCCCTTTCCCATCAGCCTATGCTCTCCCAGGCCGTTCATCACAGTGGTTGGCAAACTGCGGCAGCTTACTGGACAGCAGCTGTGTTCCAGCTGCATTGGGGTAGCCAGTCTGAAATTTGCACAAGCTGCTCTCAGCAACAGCAGAGGACAGGGTGGCTGGGCAGCTCTCCTGCAGAGTCGGATTTGGGGTGGGAGCTTTTTCCATCCTGAAGGGAGGCAGAAGAGAATGGGAATTATGGGTGTGGGGTATGCCTTGGGGTTGTGTCCCACTGGCCAGGACTTGATCTCATGACCATAACCACAGGAGGGTACAGCATTTCACCCTCTTGTGCACCAGGGAGAGGAAAGGGCCATCCAGGCTCTCTCATGCCCGTTGTCTAGCTGCAGCAGCAGGTGTTGCAACAGGGGTGTATTTGCTAGAGTCAGGGTGCTTGATATCTATCCAGCCTTAGGTTGCCTGAGCAGCAAATGGACACTTTTGTGGTCTTACTGCCCAGGCCTGGCTATAGGTGAGGAAGTCCGGCAGAAGCTTCCCACTGGCTCAGTTATCCCATGGAGCAGATGGACATCTCTTGTTCTCTTCCCTTTAGCCCTCAATCTGATTGGCCCTCGAGCTGTGGATGTGCTGTCTGAGTTGTCCTATGCTCCCATGACTCCAGACCACTTCCCAAGTCTCTTTTGCAAGGTGGGTCCTAGTAAAGTTGTGTTTTGTTTTTGTTTCACTTATTTGAAAGACACACACACACAGAGTTTACTTCCTAAATGGCCCTGATGACCCAAGCCAGGAACCGGGAAACCAGTTATTGCCCCATCACCACTCCTCCCGGGAGTCTGCAGTAGGGCAGTAGTTGAATCAGGAGTTGAAGCCAGGTAGCAAATCCAGGCAGTCCAGGGTGAGATACAGGCATCTTTACTAGTGTCTTACCCACTCATCAAACACATGTCCTTTAGGTCTGTTTTCAAGTGGGCCGAGAGTATTTCTTTTGTAGTGTTGACAGTTACATTTACTGTGGTGTTAGCACTGTGACAAAGTAGATGATCGTCTTTATTTTTCACCTTTCAAGCTCGTCTCATTTTAACAAGTATTAGGGTAACATTTCTGAATACTGGGTTTGTTATTTACTGGTTTCTGTAGTACTTGGTTAAAATTTTACATCACTGGGGCCGGCACTGTGGCACCGATTAAGCTGCCTCTTAGAATGCCAGCATGTTGTATCAGAGCGCCAGTTAGAGTTGGGGTTGCTCTGCTTCTGTGCAGGTCCCTGCCACTCTTGTGGGAGACCTAGGTGAGTTCCAGGCTCCTGGCTTCAGCCTGGCCCAGCCTCGGCTGTTGGAGCCATTTGAGGAGTGAACTGATGGATGGAAGATCTCTCTTCTGTCTCTCCTGCGCCCTGTCACTCTGCCTTTAAATAAACATGTGTATGTGTGTTATGTTATTAGGATTATGAGACTAACTACAAACTGTTCATCAAGATCAGATCCTTTCTCTCTACTCACTGGTTCCTTTCTTATGCAGAGAGAAACTTCTGTACACCTGCCGTCTTTGGGGAAGAATGGTGTAGGTGAATACAGAATTTCCTTTCTCATAAGCGGCTACCTTAGCTGAATGACACAAATTATAACAATCAAAGCAGTGATAACTAAATGCTGAGCAACTGACTGGAGACCCAAACGGATATATTTCAAGAACTTCTAATAAGCAACCATGGGACAGTTATTTACTTATTTGAAATTCTGAGTTACACAGAGCAGAGGAAGAGACAGAGATTTTCCATCTGCTGATTGACTCCCCACATGGCACAACAGCTGTGGCTGAGCCACGGTCAACCCAGGAACCAGGTCTTCCACGTGAGTGGCAGAGGCCCAAACACTTTGGTCATCTTTCACTGCTTTTCCCATGCCATTATTAGGGAGCTGCATCGGAAGTGGATTAGCTGGGACTTGAACCAGTGCCCACCTGGGATGCTGGCATTGCAGGTGGCAGGTTAGTCCGTCACACCATGACACGGACCCCAGTACTTTTTTTTTTTTAAGGATTTATTAATTTGAAAGGCAGAATTAGGTGAAAGCAGACACAGAGATCTCTCATTCACTGGTTCACACCCCAAATGGCCACAATGGCAGGAGCTGAGCCTCTCCAAAGTCAGGAGCCAAGAGCTTCTTCTGGGTCTCTTCTGTGGGTGCAGGGGCTCAAGGACTTGCACCACCTTCTACTGTTTTCCCAGGCCATAGCAGAGCGCTGGATCAGAAGTTGAGCAGTAGGTTGTTTTTGTTTTAGAATATTTTATTTATTTGAAAGAGTTACAAGTTACAGAGAGAAATAGAGCCAGAGAGAGAGGTCTTCCATTCCGCTGGTTCACTCTCCAAATGACGGCATCGGCCAGAGCTGAGCTGATCCGAAGCCAGAAGCTTCTTCCGGGTCTCCCACGTGGGTGCAGTGGCCCAAGGAGTTGGGCCATCTTCCACCATTTTCCCAGGCATAGCAGAGCTGGATTGCAAGTGGAGCAGCTGGGACTCGAACCAGCTCCCTTATGGGATGCTAGCACTGCAGGCTGGGGCTTTAACCCACTGCGCCAGCCCCGAGCAGTAGGGTCTTGAACTGGCACCCATATGGGTTGCTGGCACTGCAAGAGGCAGCTTTACCCACTACGCCACAGCACTGACCCTCCCAAATGCATTTTTAATTTTAAACTGTCACACAGTAATTAATTTCAGCTTGGCTAAAACTCCTAAAATGGTGATTTTCATGAGAAGAAATGTAAAGGCTGTGTTCCATTCTCACTGCCTGGAAACGGATGACTTTCAGGATGAAATCCTTTCATTAATGTGAACGAATTTCCTTTGGGCTAAACAAGGGGTACGGGCTAACAAGGGTTCCCCAGGCATCTGTTCCTTTGACACACCTACAGCCTCCCCTGGCTGGTCCCCAGGCTGACTGTTCCCTTTGTCTGTGCAGGAGATGAGTGTGGGCTACGCAAATGGGATCCGGGTGATGAGCATGACGCACACAGGAGAGCCGGGCTTCATGCTTTACATTCCCATAGAGGTGAGCACGTTGTCTTCCTCGCCCAGAGCTCTGGAGCACTGGCAGCACTGGAGTTCCAGCTGACTGGGCTTTGGGAGTTGAGGCTGGCTGCACTGAAGACATTTTATCATTTTGAAGTTACCCCATTTTTTTCTTCTGTCGGCATAGCTGATATATTTACATGGCCTAAAAATAGAAAGCTCCAAAAAGAATTCAGAGCCATCTGACCAGTTCTCCTGGACCACCACCAGTGTGTTAGTGTTAGCTTTTTCGTATATATCACACTGGAGATTATGCATATGCAAGCAAATTGAAAGATTGTTAGTACCCTTAGAAATACAGATGGACGCATACTGCTGTTGTCATTTTGGTTTCTTTCACTTATCATAGACCTCTTTGTATGTCTGCATTCCAACAAGATTTTTCTTATTGAAGTGCCACAATATTCCATCTTATAGAATTGACTTTTTAAAACCAGTCTGGTTCCAATAGACATTTCTGGTGTTTCTAAGTCCTTTGCTGGTATAAAAATTCTGCACCCGATTAAGAGTATCTTTTTCCATATTGTATGTGCCAACAGAGTTGTCAAACTTACGTCTGTTAGGTGCAAAATAGTTTGCAAGTATAATTTTTAATTGTCCTTACACGTGAGGTTGGGCAATGTTGTTTATTTATTTTTTAAAGATCTATTTATTTATTCAAGGGGGAGAATTAGAGAAAGAGAGAGAGCCCTTCCATCCTCTGGTTCACCCCCCAGATGGCTGCAATGGCCAGAACTGGGGCAGTAGGAAGCCAGGAGCAGCTTCTGGATCTCTCATGTGTGCACAGGGGCCCCACTGCCTTCTCAGGCCATAGCAGAGCTGGACTGGAAGTGGAGCTATATAGGTGGAGGGGGTGAGCGAGAAAAGAAATGTTAATAGTAGTAAGATGAAGGGATTATTCGGCGCATGAAGAACTGAACTAGGTCACTGCGGTGGTCTGCCTGTGCTCACTGGGCGGCTCTCAGGTGCCGCAGTTGTGGTGTCCATTTGGAGACCTGGGGCCTCCGCAGCCTCGTCTCACGTGGAGGCCCTGGATCCAGCCTCTGGGCCTCCTGGACTAGCTCCGTTCTTAGGATCCCCCGTGAGTCCAAGAGGTCATTGTGCCATGCCTGAATTACTTTTAAGCTGGCTTTGTGCTTTTGAGAAGCGGTTTTCCAGTACTACACGGAGGCAGATGGCTTGGTATCTACCAGTCTCTGGTGTTTAGTGAGAAAAATGAATAGATGATGGAGACCCACGCTGTCCTCTAACAGTGGGCACCTAGCATCAGGGCTTTTCTCCTTGGCCGTCCTCTTATCTACAGTGCAGAGGATTCAGCAGGACAAGGGAAAGCTCCAAACCTGCCAGAGTTGCTGGTCGTTATTCTCATTTGTGTGCTGGTCTCTGGTGGCCTCCTCTGCCCACCTTTGCTGATTTAATTGTTCCACACACACACACGTGCACACGCTGCAGGTAAGTGCTGTCTTCAGCTTAGCGCTGCAGGAGCTGGGATACAGCAGGTCAGGCCTCTGCCTGCAGTGCTGGTGTCCCACGTGGGCACTGGTTTGAGACTGGCTGCTTTGTTTCAAACCCAGCTCCCTGTTCATATCCCTGGGAAAAGCAGCAGAACATGGCCCAACTGTTTGGGCCCCTGCGCCCCCGCACCAACGTAGGAAATCTGGCAGAAGCTCCAGGCTCCTAGCTCCAGCCTGGCCCAGCCCTGGCCATTGAGGTCAGAGAGTAAACAGCAAATGGAAGATATTTGAAAGGCAGAGTTAAAGAGAAGGTCTTCCATCCGCTGGTTCACTCCCCAAATGGCTGCAACAGCTGGAGCTGTGCCAATCTGAAGCCAGGAGCCAGGGACTTATTCTGGGTCTCCCACATGGTTGCAAGGGCCCAAGTCCTTGGGCCATTTCCTACTGCTTTCCCAGGCCATAGCAGAGAGTTGGGTTGGAAGTAGAGAAGACAGGACTCGAACTGGCACCCATATGGGATGCCAGCACTACAGACTGCAGCTTTACCCGCTATGCCACAGTGCTGGCCACAACTTGGCCTTTTCAACAAATTAAAAAAAAAAAAAAAAGAGTTGCAGAATCAGTGAGGCTGATCTTTTCCTGTGTTGTCTTCTGCTTTCACAGTAGTAAACAGAGCATGTTTAGATAATGTTGACTTGAGTCTGGAAAATGTTCACTTAAGTAGCTTGCAAGGCTTGATCGTGTGGATGTGGCTAGTGGGCTGTTTTAGAAATGATTATGATTGGCCATTTGGTGAGGGCACTTGTGTGGGTTATAATTTGGTAACTGCTGTGTAGTGGGGTGGGCATTTGGCACAACATTGTTAAGTTGCTGCTTGGAATGCCAACATATCCCATGTGGTGGGAGTGTGTGGGTCCACTTCCATTCCAGCTTCTTGCCAGTGTGCATGCTGGGAAGCAGCAGGTGATGGCTCAAATTTGTGGGAGATCCAGATGCAGCTCCTGCCTTCGGCCTGGCCATCACTGTTTTGGGCATTTGGAGAGTGAACCACTCTTTCAAATAAATGATTGCTGCATGTTAAAATCATTCTACTTGACATTTTAAAGATGTGATATAGGCATCCTGCTTTCGTGGAGCAGTCGGGTTGGGGGTGACCTCCAACTCTTTTCTCTGGGCTCTAATGCCAGGACTTGTCAAGGATGACCCATTCTGGGAGTTTTACAGCCTGTCCATTCTAATAGCGTCAGCTATCACCACTTCTAGAAAACGGGAAAACTGACCTCTCTAACGTCTCTCCCTGTAGTATGCTCTGCACGTATACAATGAGGTGATGAGTGTCGGGCAGAAATATGGAATCCGGAATGCTGGGTATTACGCTCTTCGCAGTCTCCGAATTGAGAAGTTTTTTGCCTTCTGGGGTCAGGATTTAAATACCCTCACCACGCCCCTGGAATGTGGACGGGAGTCTCGGGTGAAACTGGAGAAGGTAACGTGTTGGACCTCCTCTGCCCCACGTGCGACGGGAAGAAGAGCTGCCAGGGCAGGCAGGGTGCCGAGTAGCAGCACCAGGCACTAAGGACGCGGAGGGTGCCTGCAGGGTGAAGCCCTGTCTTCTAGGAAAACAGACAGTTGGCACTGCTCCAGCTTCTGAGCGGACTCTGGTGATTCATGTGGCAGACAGACAGATTGCAGTCATCCTGCAGTCAGCTGCGTAATTAAAGAAAAAAATTTTTTTTTTTTTTTATTTTTTTGACAGGCAGAGTGGACAGACAGACAGAAAGGTCTTCCTTTGCCGTTGGTTCACCCTCCAGTGGCCGCCGCGGCCGGCGTGCCGCACTGATCCAAAGGGAGGAGCCAGGTACTTCTGGTCTCCCATGGGGTGCAGGGCCCAAGCACTTGGGCCATCCTCCACTGCACTCCCTGGCCACAGCAGAGAGCTGGCCTGGAAGAGGGGCAACCGGGACTAGAACCTGGTGTGCCGGTGCCGCAAGGTGGAGGATTAGCCTAGTGAGCCGTGGCACCGGCTAATTAAAGAAAACTTTAATGAAAGTCATCATTGAAGAGACCGTGCTGAGTCTCTTTCCCACCTCTGAATCCCACCGAGTCGCCTGCCCCTCTGCCAGAAGCAGCAGTTTCCTCGCTGAAGTGCAGCGCACCCACGCAGGGGTAGCCATGCTGTACTCTTTGTGCTCAGGTGGCTGGTACTACACACTTGCCGTGTTGTGCCTTTCCTCTGTCCACAACAAAGTATCTTGGCAGCTGTTGCCTGTGGTTCAGAGTATAGCTGTGGTCTCTGAGCACATTACATGACCTTTTTCCATTTCTCTGACATGAGTAATGAGTAACACGTAACTCATTTCAGAAAACAGGAAAAATGTACCAATTACATCATGGCCCGTATTTCATCCGTCCAGACCACTGTATTGCACTCTAGTCTTGCACACGCATTGTTTTGTACACACATGGACTTTTTGTTGGGATTATATAAAAGTATTCTTCTAAAAATTCCTAGCAAGTATTTTTGAGTACTGACTTTTCATTCTGAATAGCTTTGTTTTGTCTTCTGTTTGAAATGTGTTTAAAGGAAAAATGTGTGCTTCTTGTTACAGAAATTCTGCTGGTATTTTTGTATCACATTTTCCAAAGGCTGGCAGGGTGGGGCAGAGGACTGTGCTCAGCTGTACTGTGGCACATGCTCAGGGTCTTCTAGCAGATGGACAGACGCCTCAGTGTGTCCTCTCCCCTAGGGCATGGATTTCATCGGCCGGCACGCTCTGCTGCAGCAGAAACAGAACGGGGTGTACAAGCGCTTCACCATGTTCATCTTGGATGACCACGACACAGATCTGGACCTCTGGCCTTGGTGGGGAGAGCCCATTTATCGGAATGGGCAGTATGTAGGCAAGACCACCAGCAGTGCCTACAGCTACACCCTGGAGCGCCACGTCTGCCTGGGCTTTGTGCAGAATTTTTCTGACACTGGGGAAGAGCAGGTGGTGACAGCCGATTTCATCAACCGGGGAGAGTATGAGATTGACATTGCGGGACACCGGTTCCAGGCCAAGGCCAAACTCTACCCTTTCACCTCCCTCTTCACGCACAAGCGGCGAAAGGATGATGTGGAGCTGAGTGACTTGCATGGGAAGTGAAGCAAGGGCAGCCTCGCCGCCTCCTGTCATCTCATCCTGAGCAGCACTAGGGAGCGTCCCGTCCCGTCCCGCTGACCCCATCCTTCCCGTCGTTCATTCCCTCGGTAGAATTTTCAGCCTGACCTCCTCCTGACCTTACTGCTTCGCCGCTTCTCTGGCCGTTCCACCTCCTCCTCCCCATCACCTGAGGCTCTTCTCCCCTTCCATGTGCGCACTCAGACTCCCATGGTGGCTGGGGGTCTGACAGGACAGGGGCAGGCTCTGGTTGTGGAGGTGGGTTAGGGTGACAGTCTCATCTGAAATTGTCACAAAGCAAGCTGGAATTGCACAGCTCTCAGGGTGAGAGTCTGTCTCCTTTGGGCTAACGCTAGCAGGGTTGCTGTGTGTGTGTGACATAGCCCCAGGGAGTAGCTGTGCCTTTTAGCCAGGCAGACCGTCTCCTGTTCCATCGTGCTGTGGCTGGCATCCGATACCTCGAGCAAGAGGACGGTCATCTACCTCACTGACAAGAGGCATCGCAGGGACGCTGTCTGGCCTGCAGCAGAAGCACGCAGCTAACCTGGCACCATCCTCCTCCATCCAGCACCAGTGAGTGGGGCCTTGGGCCTAGGCGGTCTGCCTGGAGTTTTCATCCTTGTTAATCTCTGTATTAAAAACTTTTGTTTCTCAGTGACAAGCCACAGTGCTTGAAAGGGAAAAACCATATTGCCTTTCTGTTGCTCTTCTAGCTGATGCCCAGCAATGCCTGTGCTTTCCTTTCCACTATTCACAGTTCCAGCGCCCCAGCCTGACTGTCCGCTCTTTCGATCTGGGAAGAGGGTGAGGGCAGCTGTCTTCCTAGATGGTTAGCCAAACTTCACTGCCTTGTGACTTCCAGAGAGCTGCTGGGACCTCAAGGTGTGCTCCGCCCAGCACAAACACAGCCACACAGACATGATGGCATCGGTCCTCTGAGTTCTGAGTACAGAGTGTAAGTTACACAAGGCTAGAGGACGGCTTCCTGTCTTTTCCTTGATCCAGCTATCCTGGCATATCCTCTGAATTAGAAAATGATGTGGGGTTCCCCAAAAGTGCCCTGCATATTTTTTAAGATCAAACCTGGATGTTAAGACAATTTTCCCTGATTTTTTGAAAGTACTAACTGGTATTAAACTGTAGCCTTTGTTGTCCTGGTGAGTGAAGTGAGGTGGAAGCATACATGTGTATTAAAGGAAGTCATTTCACTTTATTAGAGAAACTTAAAATTCTTGAGTGTCAGCCTTTGGCACTTTTTGATTATTATGTTATCTACTGAGACTGCTTCCTTCCAGACGTTTCTTGCCAATATTCTTGTAGTCCACCTATATCTGATAACTGACATCAGTTGTGTACCTTTTATTTTATTTTGACAGGCAGAGTGGACAGTTAGACAGAAAGCTCTTCCTTTGCCGTTGGTTCACCACCCCACCCCCCCTGCGGCTGGCATGCTGATCCATAGGCAGAAGCCAGGTGCTTCTCCTTGTCTCCCATGCGGGCGCAGGGCCCAAGCACTTGGGCCATCCTCCACTGCACTCCCGGGCCACAGCAGAGAGCTGGCCTGGAAGAGGGGCAAACGGGACTAGAACCCGGGGTGCCATTGCCGCAGGCAGAGGATTAGCCTACTGAGCCATGGCACTGGCCCATACCTTTTATTTTGGAGGGAGGGTTGGTTTATTAAAGCAGCATATGATTAGAACTGTTTAAGGGGCAAGCCAAGTGTCTACCCAGCAGGGAGATGCTGTTTCTAGGCAACCAGAGAGCCAAGCAGTGAAACAGCAGTTATATGCGATGCTTCCAAGTCCTGGCTTCCTGTCCGCCCATGTCTCATTGGTCCTTCCTCTGGCTGAGAAGGGTGAGTGAGGCAAGGAGAGCACTTGACTGCTCTGAGACACCTTGTCTGTAAAGGGGCGTCATGTGATGTCCTGGAGCATCAGTGAGTGCCCTGAATTCATCCGTGAAGTGACTCTTGATTCAAACGTGGGCAGTGTAGATCTGCTTGGTCCTGATGTCAGCTCTCTGTGTGATCCTTCCCTGTCTCTAGTGTAACTGCTTTGTCTATGGTGTCAAACAGATCCTAGATGGTCAAGAGGAAAGGCAAGTGGCACCTTCCTACCCACGGATGTCACGTGTTAGAACATTCTGGGCTCTTGACTAGGTTGGGAGAACCAACCAAAACGCCCTCATTTGGGTGTCATTTCCATTCTTGGGCAGTGAGGCCTCATGGGTTTATGTGACCACTCACCATGGGGAGCCAGCGAGTCTCACACCCACAGATCTCGCCTTTGTGAATGGGTGGCTTCAGGTGACTGATGCTTCTCTCTGGAATGGGTCCAGCATCCCAGCTTGGCTGTGGGGCAGTGCTCCTCATTGTTTTACCTTGTCAGCAGAACCTGGAAACAGAAAATGTATTGGCCTCAAACAGATGCAGACCCAGGGGTTTAAGTTTTCTCTGAGATGTCTTTAAGTACTCATTGCCGTAGGAAGATCCTGTTTCGTGACAGCACCAAGGTCATCGGACTTGAGCTTGCCTCAGAAAGATGTCCCTTGTGTGCCACACTGCAGTCAGAACAGCTCTGCTTCAGGAAGTTGAATTGGGAAGCACCTGGAGTGGCAGTCACATGCCACCTCCCGGCAGGCAGGTTCAGCAGCAGTGCTCTGCCAGAGTGCCTGCACCTCAGAATGTGAGCTATCCCAGTGAGCCAGACACCCAGGTCACTCGGGCCAGAACCTACAGCCCAGCTTCCCATTTCTTCAGCTTGGTTCTTACGGAAAATTTACTTCATTGTTTTCTTCCAAGACAGACAGACAGAAAGTATTCTTCAGCCTGGGCAATACACACTACCCTGCCCTTGCATGCCCTTGCACGCTGGTCGTGGGTGGGGGTGCTGGTATGAGTGGCTTCACTACAACCCAGAGCCATGATTTCTGGCTGTTAACCCTCTGCATTTGCCCCAGTTCTCCCCATCTTAAAGAACTAAGACAGAGGGAATCCCCTCCGACCTGCAGCCTAGTTCTAGCCCAGCAGTGGCACTGGGTTTACTCCCAGGGGAGAGCTGCTTTCAGGCCAGTGTAGTCTGGAGTCCTCTGCAGTACTGATGACACAGGTTTGGTCAGCACTGAAGAATTTTCTTTGTACATTCTGCTGCCCCCCCCCCCCCAACATTGATATAAGCAATATTTTTTATCAGTGTAACACAGACATGTTGTTACGGGTAAAGAATGTTGCACTCACACCCATGCAGGCACACAGACTCAGGAGTGCTACAGTTGAGGGGCCTATGGTAGAGGCTTATTAGCCAAACCCTGGTCTGTGCAGTAAGTTCTGAGTGAGCTGGGGGCCTGTCACACCTCCCTCCTCACCACCACTTTGCTTCTGTGTTAAGGTGCTAAGCTGTCCATCTCGTCCGTCAGCGTGGGCTTGCCTGGCAGCCCCTCATCACTACCAGCACATGGTTTCTCTAGCGGGCTGGGTGTTTCTGTACATCCATGCCTCCTCTTTGTCCAGTAAGTGTAAGTGAACTCCCTGCACAAGGCATCTCGTGTTGAATCATGCATTTCTACACAGGACATTTTCCTCATGATGTTTCCATGTACCTCTTTTTAATCCTTTGCAGACATCTCCCACTTTCTTGTTTCTGTCTATCAAGGACAGATACTGAAGGGGTAGGGACAGTGTTTTTAGCACCCTACGCCATGATTTCCTTTGCACACTGTGACCTGGGGCTTGAGCACCTCCCTTTGCTGAGCCAGGTTCTAGTGCCTTAACACTCCAGAATGTCACGGGTGGGCAGACACAGGAACACTGAGAAAGTTCCTGTCCGGCTGGGTTCCTGTCTCCCCGCTCAGCCCTCAGCCCGTGGGGGAGGGGGAGGGGGACGTCCTAGCAGCACTCCCGGGGCAGCGCGGGGACCCGCAGAGACGCACTGTAGTGCGTGCGGGCGTGTGCAGCGCGCGGCCCTTCCATGCCTGTGTGCACGGGGAACGGGGCCCTGAGACGTCAGAGGCATTGAGTAACTGGGCCCTTCCCTCAAGGGCCTGGGTGACCCTGGCACACGGGTGACCGCCCTCTGCCCTCTGAACACACTAACTCTGAGCACCGTACTCCCATCCAGCTGGGTTAGATGAAGATTTTCTGTACATGTGTCACTGGGTTTGTAAGTGAATAAAGACGCATTTTAATCACTCGCACCATGTCCTCTGGTGAGGTGTTCTTTATCTGCCGGATCTTGCTGTTATGAGTTTATGTATTTGCCATCACGAATGCAGTGCTAGCCTCCAGCCTCCCTCTGATGCCACTGTTGCTGTCACTGGACATGACTGCACAGAAGCTGACACACGTGGCCCACCCATGCACGTGAGCCCAGTGATCTGTTCTACCCATCTTGCACACACAGGTTGATTCACTGTATTTTCTCATTGCTGCATGAGAATCCCATGGGACCTCATCTCATAACAACTTGATCACTCACAGCACACTTGGAGGCCACATGTACATCAGGAAGCTGGCAGCTCTGCCACTGCTGCTCCTCACCCCCAGAGCCCATGGGCTGTCATGAGTCCGAGCTCTGCTGTGATACAGCCGAGACGCCTGTGGAAAAACAACCCCCCTGGACACAACTCCTGCTGCCCAGGGGCTGCTGCCTGTCATCGTACAAAGCTCTGGTGCTGCAGTCTTGAGGGGCAGGAGCCAACCCTGATGATGATAAAATGATCTTGCTGAAGAATACTGGCCCTGGGGCAAGCACTGTGGCGTAGCGGGTAAAGTCCTTGCCTGCAGTGCTGGCAGCCCATATGGGCACTGATTCAAGTCCAGGCTGCTCTGGCCTGGGAAAGCAGTGGAAGATGGCCCAAGTGCTCGGGCCCCTGCACCCACGTGGGAGACCCAGAGGAGGCTCCTAGCTTTGGATCGGCAAAGCTATGCTATTGTGGCCATGCGGGGAGTGAACTAGCTTTCTCTCCCCATTCCCCGCTCTTCTCTCTGTATGTAACTCTGAATTTCAAATAAATAAATCTTAAAAAAAAAAAAAAATACTGACCCTGATCTCAGAGGTCAACTGGGAAAGGCAGCAGCTGCTACTGAAGCTGGTCCACACAGAGGACAGCCCCCGCCTGTCCTGGTAACAACCCCTAAGGTCAGAGACCACCACCAGCAGGAACTTCTCAAGTAAACCTCCAAAGACAGCAAGGAAAGAAAAACACTTAACTCTTAGTCGTAGAAATACAAGCTATGGGGCCGGCACAGTGGGTTAACACCTGAAGCGCCAGCATCCCATATGGGTGCCAGTTTGAGACCTGGCTGCTCCACTTCCCATCCAGCTCTCTGCTGTGGCCTGGGAAAGCAGTAGAAGATGGCCCAGGTTCTTGGGCCCCTGCGCCCGTGTGGGAGAGCCGGAAGAAGCTCCTGGCTTCGGATCAGCGCAGCTCCAGCCATTGCAGCCAACTGGGAAGAGAACCAGCAGATGGAAGACTCTGTCTCTCTTCTCTCTGTGTAACTCTGCCTTTCAAATAAATAAATAAATAAATCTTGACCGGTGCTGTGGCTCACTAGGCTAATCCTCCGCCTTGCAGTGCCAGCACACCGGGTTCTAGTCCTGGTCGGGGCGCTGGATTCTGTCCCGGTTGCCCCTCTTCCAGGCCAGCTCTTTGCTGTGGCCTGGGAGTGCAGTGGAGGATTGCCTAGGTCCTTGGGCCCTGCAACCCCTGGGAGACCAGGATAAGTACCTGGCTCCTGCCATCGGATCAGCGCAGTGCGCTGGCTGCAGCGCGCCGGCCGTGGCGGCCACTCGAGGGTAAACCAATGGCAAAGGAAGACCTTTCTTTCTGTCTCTCTGTCCACTCTGTCAAAATAAATAAATAAATAAATAAATAAATCTTTTTAAAATAAAATACAAACTATTCTAAAACATTAGCTTAAAGCAACTGCGGGGTGTCCCAGAGAATGATAGTTCCTAGAGGCACTGAGCTGTTCTCCCTCTTTCTCTTAACAACCAAAGGCAATAAAAATCTTTGGGTTCCAGGTGGCTAAAAGCCAGAAGAAAAAAGATTGCCAGTCAAGAGATCATAAATCCAAGTTAAAATTTTTGAAAAAAATATTAGCTATAGCAAATACAATGCTAGTCCTAGATTAGTGATTTATAAACAGATCCCTAGGGTGGGAAAATAAAAGGTAACCAGCTATTTTAATACAAATGTAATAGCGCAGGCAGAGGCAGCATTGTGGCCCAGCAGGTAAAAATGCTGCCTGCAGTGCAGGCATCCCATATGGGCACCAGTTTGAGTCCTGGCTGCTCCACTTCCAATCCAGCTCTCTGCTATGGCCTGGGAAAGCAGTAGCTTCTTCCGGGTCTCCCATGTGGGTGGCAAGGGCCAAAGACTTGGACCATCTTCCACTGCTTTCCCAGGCCACAGCAGAGAGCTGGATTGAAAGTGGAGCAGGGCCGGTGCCGTGGCTCAATAGGCTAATCCTCCACCTTGCGGCACTAGCACACCGGGTTCTAGTCCTGGTCGGGGCGCTGGATTCTGTCCCGGTTGCCCCTCTTCCAGGCCAGCTCTCCGCTGGGGCCCGGGAGTGCAGTGGAGAATGGCCCAAGTGCTTGGGCCCTGCACCCGCATGGGAGACCAGGAAAGGCACCTGGCTCCAGGCTTTGGATCAGCGTGATGTGCCAGCCGCGGCGGCCATTGGAGGGTGAACCAACGGCAAAAAGGAAGACCTTTCTCTCTGTCTCTCTCTCACTGTCCACTCTGCCTGTCAAAAAATAAATAAATAAATAAATAAATAAGAAAGTGGAGTAGCTGGGACATGAATCGGTGCCCACATGGGCTGCTGCCACTGTAAGTGGCAGCTTTACCGGCTACACCACAGCGCAGGCCCTGCGTCTATCATCTTGAGAAGGTAAATAACACTGTAGCCTAGCCAGGTTTCCCATTTGTATATCCACCGCTGTGTAATCTGTGTTGGCTACACTGACACAATACATTAAAGGGGGGGGGGGGGGCAGCAGGTTAAGCTGCTGCCTCTGGAACCTGCATCCCATGAGCACTGGTTCAAGTCCCAGCTGACCCACTTCCAATCTAGCTCCTTTCTAATGTGCCTGAGAAAGCAGTACAGGATGGCCTAAGTCACACATGGGGGAGACCTAGATGAAGCTCTTGGCTTTGGTTGGCCACTGCAGCCATTGGAAGTAAACCAGTGAATGGAAAATTTCTTCCTCTAACTCTGCCTCTCATATAATTAACTAAATTTTTTAATTAAGTTTTGGGCACTGACAAATCTGGCTTGGTAAAAATGGGATCCCATGAATCCCAGTTAATATGATCCAACATAGGCTGAAATGAGGTTTTCAAGGATGAAAATTATTAAATTAAACCTAATTGATAACAGGGTTATTGGCCCCACTACTTCTCCACTTAAAAGCACAACTGTGCCATCTTCTCAAACTTGAAAACAAAACCATACAAAGGGCATGTTAGGATGGATTACTACAACTTCAACACTGTGATTTCATCCATTTGGGGCCCCAAACCTATTCAGTACTTAGTATCTAAATTGCTGATCCTGTTCAATCAACAACCAATAAATATTTTACTCTAAGAGATTTGGCTGCCCTTTTTTTCCAGTGCCTCTCAGCTGCACTGCCGTCACCTCTGCAGGGACTGTCCAGGTTTCCCATGGGGACCTCCTCGGCTTTGTCATCACATGCAGTCTGCAGCCATACTGTGGGTCACAGCCTCTTGTGGTCTCCTGCTATACCTTCTAGAACACAGTGGACTCTGAAACGGAGGCTCCCACAGACCCAGAGCCTGTGACTGCTGTGCTGGAGTCAGTGGGAACTGCACCTCACAGCCATGTCTCCTGAGGCTCCATAAGACAGGGTGGAACCAAACCTGGGCCTTCCAGTACATTCCACCTGCAGGGGGCGGGGCAGCCCCCCATCCTCGGTTCCCTGCCTGATGCCAGAGTGCAGATGGAGGTCCTGCTCCCCCAGGACCTCTGACTACCTGGAAAACCTCTTGGGATTCACCAGTGCCCAGTAACAGCAGCTCAGAGTTGCGAGTGCACGGCTGACCACCACCCCTGATGGAGCTGAGTGTAATGTCACTTTCCACCCTTCAGCCAGGAAGTCCAGAAGGTTCCTATTAAAGGATGCGAATAAGGAACAACACTCGGCCCCACTCCAGGCAGTCTTCCTAGTGTGGTCAAAAGATGAGCAGCATCGTATTTGTCATAAACTACTGTCTCAGCACCTAACAACTATCCTCTAGG